GTTTTCAGTGTCGTTGTCGCTCTCTTGGATGCCTTCCGCTTCAGCGCCATTCTCAGAAGCCACTTCCTCCTCCTCCTCCTGATTTTCAATATCCGATGAACTCTCCTCATTATTACTCTCGTTATCAGAAGTATTTTCTACATTTTGGTAGCCTTTTTCCTTTTCTATTAAATCACTTAACAACTTTTTGTTCTTGATTAAACCTTTATCGATTCCTAACTCTGCAAGTCCATCTAGAAACGTATTCAGCGCACGAGGTTTGGTAACCTCATTGTTATAAGGGAGTAACACATACTCAACTAGCTCAGCAATGTTTGTGACGGGAATAGTGCGTTTATTTCGAAGTAATTGTCCGCTGGGGGTCCAGAAAAGAATATCTTTGGACGCAGCCATACTATGCAGCAAATCAGAAGCACGCTTTTCCGGCACTGCTCGGGAAAGATGACTCAAAACATCTTTTATTCGCGGTTCTTCTTTTATTCTTAGTTCTTCATCCTCGCTTTCATCACCAGAACTTTCGCTTTCTTCATGTTCACTCTCTTGTTCTTCTTCTTCAACCAAATCTATCTTTCTTTTCATTTTGATGAGTACTCGTGACAGACTTAGCTACGAATGAGCAACCTAGCGATGTGTCACCTCTTTTATAGCATTAGAAATCCTAAGCTTGAAACGACAGGGGCTAATACATCTTCAATAAAACCACTACCCTCTTGAACAAGGACTCGCTTCTTTGTTTTGAAAGGGACATTTGTACTGGCCAGGTTAAGTAAAGCATCCTTATATGGCAGCAATACCCGCTTATTTTCTTCGGAGATGGGAATGTGTCCCATGAGTAAATTGTATAAGACTTGGACTAGTGCATGAAGTTGCTGTGGTGTAGCTGTCTTTAAAAGAAACTGGCGCTGATAAGCAGGGCAAGCAGCTAACAGCTGAAGAAAACCACGATTGCTGTTCACTACACGAGACATTGCTACAAAATGAACTAAGAATGGCAGTTGGTGGTCTTTTATAGAATCTGGTGGAAGGAAAAACAATAGAAATGTGGTGGCGGTGGTGGTGGTGGTGGAGGGAAAACAATGGAAATGTGGTGGTGGTGGTGGTGGTGGTGGTGGTGGTGGTGGTGGTGGTGGAGGGAAAATAATAGAAATGTGGTGGTGGTGATGGTGGTGGTGGTGGAGGGAAAACAATAGAAATGTGGTGGTGGTGGTGGGAAAACAATAGAAATGTGGTGGCGGTTGTGGTGGTGGAGGGAAAACAATAGAAATGTGGTGGTGGTGGTGGTGGTGGTGGTGGTGGGGGAGGAAAAAAATAGAAATGTGGTGGTGGTGGTGGTGGTGGTGGTGGAGGGAAAACAATAGAAATGTGGTGGCGGTGGTGGTGGTGGTGGTGGTGGTGGAGGGAAAACAATAGAAATGTGGTGGTGGTGGAAGGAAAAACAATAGAAATGTGGTGGCGGTGGTGGTGGTGGTGGAGGGAAAACAATGGAAATGTGGTGGTGGTGGTCGTGGTGGTGGTGGTGGTGGTGGAGGGAAAATAATAGAAATGTGGTGGTGGTGGTAGTGGTGGTCTTGGGTGAGGAAAACAATAGAATCTTGTGGTCTGAAAAACTATATAAATGCGTAACATTCTACCTCCTTCTCAGTCTACATTTTGCTCCTGAGGAGTTGACATGAGTTGGTTCTGTTTTGTCTGCGAAAAATCCTTTAGTAGAAAAGATAGTATGCAAAGGCACGTGATGTCTAAACACCGCAATGCTGGTCTCACCCCATTTCAAACAGTTCCAATATTTTCACAGAAATGTCAGCGGTTTCGCTTCGAGCATCCTTTCACCTCCATGATTGCCGGAATGACCGGGTCCGGAAAAACGGCCTGGGTTCGATCGCTATTGCAACAAGCTTCAGAGACCATTTATCCTCCCCCGGAGAGGATCGTTTGGTGTTATTCACAATGGCAGCCTGCGTATACACAAATGTTAGTCGCCATGCCAAACATTGAATTCGTCAAGGGAATTCCTACGGCTTTGGAGCAAGATTCCTATTTTGATGTGAACAAACGGAATTTGATCGTGTTTGATGATCAGATGATTGACGCCAGTAAGGACAAGCGAATTGTGAACCTTTTTACTCGTGGTTCTCATCATCGCAATCTGAGCGTGATTTATATCGTGCAGAATCTATTTCATCAGGGGAAAGGTAGCCGCAGCATAAGCCTAAACAGCCATTATCTGGTGTTATTCAAGAATCCACGAGACAAATTGCAAATCTTGACTCTGGCGAAGCAAATGTATCCTGGGCAGACTGATTTCTTTTTAAATAAGTACGAAGAGGCTGTAAAAAGACCTTTTGGTTATCTTCTGATTGATCTGAAAACTACTACCCAAGATAATTGTCGGTTGCGAACAAACGTCCTGCCCAGTGAAGAAGGCTTTAACCAAGCAGGGTTTCAAGAAAATATTCCTCAAGAGCTCCTACGATATCTGAAGCAGCAAACTCTTTCGCCTGTCCCACTTCTGCCAGCTATGCAAGAAATACAGGGCAACATGGATGACGTGCTTTCTCGAAACGATCTTCGGGACGATCAAAAAGTTAAGCGATACGTTCAGTTGCAAAACAGATACCTGGCTTTTAAAGAACAATTAAATACAAGAACACGACCGGAAGAAATAATCAGTACTGTTCCAGACTTAACATCAAGGACACAAGATTCTTCGACAGCAACGACAGCATTCTCGACTCCCCTCAACCCCTTTAATGTAACACCTGAATTAACACAAGCAGCTATCTCTCAAAAAGCTGACAAAGAAAGCCTCACCCCTCCACCACCCTTAAATTCTGCTTTCCTGACCCCTCCTCCCACAGTAGAAACCCCATCACAACAAGAACCGAAGCGCAAAAGGCGTCGGATTCAATTTGTAAATTATCTGGATGATCATAAATCTCATGGCAAACAGCTGAAGAAACGTCGGCATAAGAAATTCAAACCTTACAAGTACTCCATGGGCGAAGATGAAGATTAATTAATTTCCATTCCTGTGTATTTGACTCTTTTTGTTTTTAATAAAGTTTTTTAATACGGTATCTCTCTTGTGTTTTTATTGCTAGCAATTATGAGTCGCGTGTTTTAATTGATCCTTGTTAAGTTATTTGTTTTATAATAATACGTCAAGGTTGCTCCCTGGGGTCTAGCTGTAGAGCTAATTTGTATTCAGCTTTGGGCTTGTGAACTCGCATAATTAACTGATTAACCGTGCGTGAAAATAACAAGACTTTAATAGTTTTTCATTTCCTGAGATAGAACGGAGAAAACGTCAGACAAAATTGAAATAGAGTTTTCAGTTCTACTTTGTGTATTTTGTTTATATATATCCGAGTTTTAGAGCTCAATAAGAAGACATAAACTAAACGGAAATAGAGACTTTTCAACTCCACTTTGTGCACATGTGTTTTGTTTATATATATCTGAGTTTTAGCGCTAAATGAGATATAGGAAGCCGTTTTTCGCGTTGCTAGGTGATCGCTCTTATTTTCCTTTTAATAGACGTTCCGGTAAACCGGGCTCAAGTTACTTAACGGGCAAGTCTAGGCAAGCCTATTGTTCCTATTGTAGTAGAGTGACGCTCATTAGTAAACCTATACCGAATTAGTATGGAGGAACCCATTTTTTCCCTAGGTTATCACAATAGATGACGTCATTGACTAGACCTAGCTAGACCGTGCTAGACACTAACGAGGCTTATCTTTGCTGAAGCCCTACTACTGTTGTGGTAGCGAACTTCTTTATCGGACTTCGTATACCAAAGAAGCTTAGATGAAGTTTCTTCAATTATTGGCTTTTTAAATATTCATTCAAAGATATTTTCGAGGTGCAATAACTTGGAAGTTGATTGACTTTTATTGGCACTATTAATGTGCGGTACGATGCAGTCTCTTTGTGAATATTTAATGACTTATTAAAGTTTAAGGAAATATTCTTGAAACGTACCCGGGGAAGGGACTAGCTGAAGTATATGAAAAACTATCATTTCGGTCTGTAAAAAGGACCGAAGGGTAAACAAATGCATTTTATGGCTGTGAAAAAGTCAAAAAAAAAACAAACAAACAAACGTTCTTGTTTTGTGATTTGCTATTCATAGTTTAAAGGACATAGGGTGAGAACAGCAGTTAAAAATGTATGCAAAGTTCCAAACTAGGTATGTGATAGGGGCACTTTTTCTGTCATAATTAAATGGTACGCAAAAGGTAAGGGGCTGGACCGCGGGGCGGAGCCTTCCCGTAAAAACCTTTCTTGAGTACTCCCCCCCTCCCAGTGAAATAAACTTTCTACCAGGTGATCCATTACTTCTTAGTCACTAGCTTGCAGTTTAATGAGGGCCAACAATAACAGCTAAAATTCACATATATATTTCTGCCCTCAGTTTTCAGTCAACCAATTACTCTCCCCCCAACCGCTGCTTCTGATTTTTTCTTTCCACAGGTGAAATCAATGGGTCTATTTCAGCGTTAACAAATAAAGTTCAGGTGAGCACGCTATTAAAGAATTGGTGTCAATGTACAACCTCCATTCTTGATTTTTAAGGAGTCAACTTCAGTCCTCTTAGTCCACCCTCTAATTAACTTCCTTTTTTTCAACTAACCAAATTTTATTCGATTTCTTTCTGCAGGGAAGAGAAAAGAGGATTAAAAAAAAAACAATCTTCTGAAGAAGGATCTCTTCAGCCGAGTGCAGCACATGGTATGCTGTATTCCTTACTATAAATGTTGCTGTGGTCGCAGTGAACCTCCTATCGATTGTTCTTTTTATAAAGAACGGTGATCTTCGCACTCGTTCCTTGTACTTGAATATAAACTTGACCGTGGCTGATATGTTTGTTGGAGCTGAGGAAGTGCCACTTTCTTTGAAGTATTTTTTTCCTCCTCTACGGTTGCGAAGCTGGAAATTTATTTTTCATCTTTATTGCTGAGCGGGAATATAAATTGCTACCTATTTTGTTTGTGCTTACCATGATCAACATCTATTTTTCGCCCACCTCTGTAACAGGCATTGCAGTAATGTCTTTAGATCGAATGCAGGCGACGTTCCACCCATTCAGGCACCGTAACATCAAAAAATGGGCCTACGGGGTAACAATTGCAGGCCTCTGGACTTTAACTGCGATGATAGTAATTCCCTTTCCGTTAATAAGTCTCTATGGGAACCTGCATCAACAGTGGCAAGTGCTATTTCCTTTGTACTTATGGCCGTCATACTGTTGCCTTTGCCTTATTGTTATCTGTGTTTCTTACACCTCCATTGCTTTAAAATTTTGGTGTGGAACCCGTCCTCCGTCCCATGGTGCGGCCAATAGACAAAGAAAACTGACTGTGACATTATTCATAATGACCATTGTATCTTTGCTGCTGTGGTTACCATATGTTGTACATAATTTTGTTCCTTTTTCTGTTCTAGATACTAAGTTTTCTTCCCTGACATATTTACGCTTGAGATTATTTTTTTCTCTTCTATACCGCACAAACTCGCTTGTTAATCCCATTATTTACACAATAAGAATGGCAGAGTTGAGAAGAACTCTCCTGATATTATTTAAACTTCGACAAAGACAAATTGCTGTTATTCCTCTTCATGCCCGTTATTGCTGTTAATTTACCTTGTCCAACACTTTATTGAAAGTTCAAAAAATGACCAGTAAACTATGTCAACTATTTAACAATTATTGCATGAGGCTGCGTAGGATATGAAGAATTCTGCAGATCGAGGAGGAAGTTGTTCATTCAAAATAATTCCAAGTGTTAAAACAAGCTAAAACATGCTCAGCGGCACCCAGCGACGGTTTCTTCTCAAGTGCTTTGAAAACAAATTTTTAGACTATCCAGAGTACTTTTAGACCTTTACAAATGCATTCTAAGTGGTGCTATGTATAAAATTTGTATCTGTTCCGGCGGTCATCCTAGGGAAACTTTTAAAGTCTTTTCGAAATTGCAAGGGCTTCATTATCAATTTAGATGCAATTTAGCGCTTTATGAAAGTGAATTTTTTTTTATTCCTCTCCCCATCACATTTTTGAATCTGAAAATTTTAGGCTTCCCTTTTCCTTCGAAAATTGAAATAGCCTGGCCTGGGATGTGAAATGTGAAAATTTAAACTTCACAAAATCGTAGGGAATTTATCAGATAAGCTTCGAAAACTGTACATGAATTGAACGGCCATCTAGAAACTTTTAGCCGTATTCAAGCAATAGAAAATTCTAGGCGATATTTGCTTCTCCGTAAAAAACAGTCGTCGGGTGCCCCTGCCTACTTACCTCGGTCGTTGTTAACGCACCTAAAAAGTATCATAATGTTAAGTCGGCGCGGGATGGGGTGGAAATTTGACATTTTTCAAAACTTTGCCGTCAAATTCCCTGCCCACGGGCAAATCATTCCATGAAATGTCCCCAGGTTTTCTCGGTTAACGGTTCAATAATCTCCAACTCTCACTGCACTTTTGACGTCATCGGTTCAATTCACCATTTTCACATAAACCATAAGGCACCTTCCTCTCCCTCAAATTTTTGCATAACCATTGTTTCAAATTTCTCCTGGGTATTATAGTTGTTCCAAGAGAAATTGAACACAATGGTTATGCAAAATTGGGGGTAGTAGGGGTTTATGTAACAATATATAGTGAATAGGACAAAATTCGTGCAAATTTGGTCAACAGTAGCTGGTTATGATGAACTATTCGTGTGATTTTGGCCAATTAGAAACGGAGAAATATTTTGAATGAATAACGTTCTTTAGTCGCATGAAAGACCTCTTGAAAATAGTACTTCAATGCATAGTTTTATATTTAACTTTAGATCGATAAAGCGATTTTCCTATGACCTAGAAAAATGGTTTCGGTAAGTATTCGTTATTTGTTTTATCAGCCAATGGATGAAAAGATCAAAAGATGCACTCTCCGTTTTCCCGCCAAAGAAGACCCTTATGTGGAGAAGGCATTGTTCGATTGGCCAATCGTGTTTCAGTATGACCTCAAAGTGAAGTATCGATTGATTTCTGGAAAGTTCTCGGGCATAAAAGAATGCACTTTATTTGAGTGTCAATGTATTTAGCACGAAAGTACTAATTGGGGACACTATTTTTACGTCCCCAACTGGAGACGGGACGCCATTTTACGTGGTCATCCGAGCCACCGCAGGTCTAGCCGCTTGGAGTGCAAAGGGAGTACTTTCTTTTCCCAGTTATTTTAAGACCCTGAGTATTGGTACGGCCTAGGGAATCGAACCCGCGACCTTCCGCTCAACAGTCAAGCGCTCTACCGACTGAGCTAATCCTCCCGCGGGAAAAGTTTTTTCACCCGAGTGTTCGCTTAACCAACCAAAAGCCACGCGCGTTTGCATCCGTTCGATAAACCAATCAAATCGCCCTATTTCCGTTCGTGGTTTGTTTCTGTTTTGTTCGCGCGTTTTCATTTCAAGGTCATACGAAACAATAACTTAGAAGACTGTAAATACATATAGAGAAGCTTTTACTCGTTTAAATGGGCAACGTCAGGCTATTTGAATTGCTCTCTTCCCAAGTGAAAAAACTAAACCGTCTCTTCACATCAATTGATGGTCCAGTTTTGTGTTAAGTTTTAGAATATATGACATATTTAGACATTGAAAACGTTTCCTGTTGTTTTTGCAAAAGGGTTTGCAAGGATGAGCCAACGTTTTCAAGTTTCAATGCCATCTATAAAAATTATAGATAAAAATCAGTTGTTTGATATATTTTTCATAACTCTACAGGAAAAACGTCTCACTTGACGTGCGTCGCTCACAAACGCTTTTCCTTAAACTCACTATTGCTTCTATTTTAGCGGAACTCCGCGTGAGCGAAGCCCTATAGCGGGTAAGAAAGTTTGGTTATCTATTCATCAAAGAAATTTTGGTAGTCACGTGACCGTCCGTCCCCACACAGGCAACCAATGTGAAATCTCACACTTTCTAGCTAACGTAGTAACCTGCAACCTGATTTTGCACATCCATGTTGTGGTCAATTGGCAGGTGTCAGTGTATCCTCTGACCAGTATCACATGACCCATGAAAGTAAAGTGTTTTTTTTTAAGTAATCCGTTGACAATTGACTGATTGCAAGTCCAACTCCAGTGGATTTCTTAACAATGGTTACAAGTTTATTGTTTGAAGTAAGTGATATCTTATTAACGGGAACTTCGCCTTTAGCCTTGGCTAATTCCATATATTATTTACGTGCGAACGCCCGCGAAAATTACGCGACATTCGAAATCCGTCCCCTCTCTTTCATATGGGAGTCCCAACCCTCCCCGGGTTCCTTATCATTTTTGTTTGTTTGTTTGTTTGTTTTTTTTTATGACACCATCGATTAAAGATCCTACTAAGAAAGCTTGCCAATTATATCATGCACCAAAAATCTAATAGCTGGTTCCGCTTTTACCTTGTCAATAGGACGCAAATTTGCAGAGTTGAAGGAGCCTTGTCTGAAGCAAGTGTCTTAAGTTTCGAAGTACCACAAGGCACTACAATTAGCCCAAATGTTATTCCTTTTATATGTAGATGATCTGGCAAACTGCCTCAATGTAGTATTTGCGAAAATATTTGCGCATGCACGACACAATAAGCACCTCGGCAAGGAGCTTTACCGAGCTCCAACCAATTTTAACTCTGATCTAATAACGGAATCTTGCCCGTTTCTAAGAGCAAATACAAAAATAAAATTCATGGTACATTGTAATTGGTTCTCGGCCAAAAAAAAAAAAAACAAAAAAAACAAGCTGAAGGAGATAATGAGATGCACGTAAATATTGACTCGGAAACAGTAAATAGCTGGTACTCCGAAAGAGGGTCCACTGGACGAGACTCTTAATGTTAAAGCCGCATTTACAGTCGGGGCGAAGGTTCCCTTAAATAATAAAACTTCAGACGGATCGTAATAAAAGCGTCTTCATTAGTGTATCCAGTGTGCTTGCAAATATCTTAATTTTCATAAAAACAACTTTCAGCTCAATCAAAGCCAACAGACTTGTAGCTACTTGTCCCTTGCATGCACTAGTTTACCCACAGTTACGTTTCACACGGTCTGTGACGTTTTTATGAGAGCCCGCTTGATGAGGACTCCCGGATAATACGGACACCACGGCATGTTCCCTTGGTGTCCGCATTACCCGGGTTCCACTGTATTTTTGGGCCTGTTTAAATGAAGGTGGGGGACCCCAGGAAGTTTAGGTAACCCACTTAGCTGGAGTAACTTGCATTCCCATGTAATCTCTAATTTAATTTGATCACGTTTACATGATAGTTGTGGGTTGACCCGCCTCATGTTACTTCAGATATTTGGAGTCCCCGACTTCCATGTCAACAGGCCCTTAATGGACAAGTGAAAATCTCGTCTTGAAAACTCGGCTTTCTATGTTTGTATTATCATTATTTTTACAGTATTTATCATTGTCATTTAATTTTGTAAATAAAGATAACGTGTATAATCAAGTTAATTTGTTTTTTCTTTTCTATTTTTTTTTCTTTTCCCTAATGCTAATTGCGGGCAGTGGTTGTTCTTGTAACATTTAGTAAATAAACTGAACTGAACTGAACTGGGCGTTGTTGCCCCATTCGTTTCAGATTATTCTCGCTCCATGAAGGTTAGACTGTTTATAGTCCCCTATTTTTTCCGTAAGATCGTCGAGATCAAAGACTTTGGGTTAAGAGCGGCCATCTAGGATGAGTGTAAAATCTCCTTCCGCCCGCTCGGTAAAAATGAAACCACGATAGTCAAGATGGCCGCCCGTACCAAGAAGTGCACGTTCCTGACGATCTTACGCGCGTAAGCCACCTGTATAAGCTATATGTCATGCCACCAAAGTGTAATTCATGCAAATATTCTGCTGAACTGTTTTAAGAGTGCACTAAAGCGCTTCCTAAAATCCATTAGTTGCCCACTTGTTATCTTATGTTATGACTATTGTAAACAGTTTACATGTAAAAGAATCCAAGACAGTCTTGGATTCTAAATTCCACTCCTTAGAATCCGGATCACCAGATACTGCATTCCAGATTCCCAGAGTCAGTGGAAGTTGGGTCCAAGATTCCAAACGTTACTGGGATTCCGGGTTTCTTGAGCTGTATTGCGGATTCCACATGCAAAAATTTCCTGGATTCCGGAAACTCTATTGGACCTTACATGGGGCGATCATACACTCTGCTCAGTCATTCTCAAGAAAACGGTTTCCGTTACCTTGTGACATAAATAGATGTGACACATTGCAGTAATAATAATAATAAACAAGAAAGTTGCAACTACGGCATTTTTATAACTGAAGCATCAGGTGATTTCAATGGCGGTAACAAACTTGCTATGAAAGTCTTGACTTCTGATATGCGACACGAAATCCACAACTTCTTGATTTACTCGGACGCGCGGTAGGCTATATCTAGCCTAAAAAAAGAAAACATCAGCATCGGAAATTAAGTGTGGTCATCACACGGTGGCAGTTTTTCCTTATCTATTCAGCTGACAAAACAAAATATATTGACGAAAATGCTTATTAAAGAAAACATCTCAAGCCTGTATGGGAGATCATCCGGCCAAGC